TGGAGAAAGAAGAAGATAAAGATATGGTTATGTTGCATTTAGTCAGAAGAAACAACAAGAGCTTTTATGACTTAGCTAAAATATATAAATCTGACAGAAACTGGTTCTATCGTGAAAACTTACCGATTTCAATGACACCGAATGAACAAATAAAGGAAATTGTCAAAAATACTCTTCCTCAAACACACTATGACATCAAAGGTTGCACAATACTTACATTCAAAGAAGACTTAACATTACTGAAGGAAAAAATAACAGAATATTTCGATAACTTCAAAGAGGAAGAATAAAGTCACGACAACATTAACGAAGAGAGAATGAGGTGAAAAAAGAGGTGAAAAAACGGGTGAGATCTCACCTCTTCACCAAAAATATATTTTTGCTTAAATAGCTTCAGGGTCTATTTCTTCAACCATTTCACTTCCTTCGTCAATGTCAATAGAAGCTTCTTCAACCTTTGGTAAGAATTTCTGTATAACATCTTTGTTCGTTATTGTCTTCAGAGATGAAGGATAATATTTCACAGATGTTTCACCCTTCTTATATTCTTTCTGTTCGGAAAGATTTAAAACAATACTGAAGAAGTCAATATTAGAGTTCTTTATAACAGTATAATGAGTATCTTTGACATTCACGAAGAAACTCTTTTGTTTCAAAACTACTGCTAACTCTTGTGAAGTATAACGTTTGCGGTCAATGACGATAGCTAATGGTCTGACATACTGACCAAACTTAGATTCTTTCACAAACTTCTTGTTAAAGATAACATTAACATTTGAAGCATTATTGAACTCATTCTTGATGGCAGTAGCGAGAGCATTGTATGAAAAGAACTTGCAATCTTGCATGTGTTTCATTAAAATAAAAATATTAAATTATTTTGAAAAATAACTTAAAAAAATCTAATCTAATTTTTTCAAAAAATATTTTTTTATTTCCTACTAAAAATGTATCGGAAGTTGTCTAAGTTAGAACACTCGGAAATAAAACAACTTCTTACAGAAGCTAATATAGATGTTGCAAAGCATTACGCAACAAACAAAAAGGCACTCGCTGACATCCTCAATGACTATAATGGTGCAATAAGTTATGATAGAATTCATGAGTTCATAAAGCCGCAACGCGGCGAGGACGAAGTCCATGCAATAGCATTTCCTTTAAATGACATTGCTATTGACTTATATCATAGACGTTCAGTACCTCATGAAGTAAGAAGAGAAATGTTTGACATAACAAATGCAAACGTTGGTGAAACAAGAAGAAGAGACGACACACTGAAACAACAGAGAAGAGAGATGTTTAAAAGTGCTATAGAACAAGTTCGCAAAGCTAACGATGTCATTCTTTCCATTGACGACAAACCAAAAGAAGGTGAGAGATGGTTAAAGAAAGATGAAGAGAATAGGAAGAGAAATGTGAAGTCAGGCAATAGACTCATTGACTTTAACATCGAAGCTTTAGATGAACCAAACAGAGACTACTTACACAAACATTTCGGTAAGGTTTTCATGAGACTCTTAGAGAAAATTAAAATAAACTCCCAACAAAGATGGATGGTATGTTATAAACTTGGTGGAAAGTATGAATGTTCTACGTTAAACCTCAATAATATTGGAACATTACTACATCAGCTCTTGAAGGAGAACTTTATATCAGAGATAGAAGCAAATGCTGCAGGTATTGTTGAAATGCACTATGACTTCTTCTTGACAAACATAAAGAATCTTTACCGAAATAAAGATGTATGATTTAACAGAATATGAAGGCTTAACGATGTCAGATGTAAAGAAAGGCAAACCAAAAAAGAGACCATATAGAGATGAAAGCACACTGACAAATGACCAGAAAGCCATTTTGGAAGCTCTTAAGCAAACAGGAAACCCAGCACTTATAGAAAGCTTTTGGAAAGATAATGGTGAAAAGAAGTTTTATAAGAAGAGAAGCGGTCAGTTCTGGAAGTATCTTTGCACATTACCTATAAATCTTGAACGCTACCAAATCTTCAATGAACTGAACAAAAGAACTGCAACACTTATGACAGAAGACAATTGTTTCGTTTATGCTTGCATTCAGGCTGGAGTAGATGAGAACTATTGACCACATGAGAGAAGTCATTCGTGTTAGAGACTTTCCTCAAAGTAAAGTACAAGAAATTTCTGACGCAACAGGTATAGCATTTAATGTTACCATTGGTTATTTCAATGACTCAAGACATAATGAAATAAAGAGATACATACCAAAAGAATGTGAAACTGTTAGAACTATTGACTTACTTCTTGTTGAAGACCACTACATGCTAAATGAAAGATTACCAATGACAACATATTTCATTCGCAACTATATAGAAATCTTGAAGGAGTGTGGTGGAATGAACATTGAGAAACAAATGAAGATTTATACAAAGAGAGAAGATAAATATGTAGTTCGTTATGATAGAACAACACCGTTATGGGATGTTATGAAAACATTGTGGGAGTGCAAATATTTCGAACCTATTTCTTATGGAGAACTTTTCACATATACGACTGACTTATATAAACAGAACCTTGCACCATTTAAAGATTTGACATATGCTCCAAAGTATTGTGTACAACTGAAGAAGAAAGCCGAGTCAAAAGAAGTAAATAAAAATAAGTGCAAGTTCATTCCTGAGCACGTTTTCTTTGCTGACTTTGAGTGCAGTACCGATGGCTTTCATAAAGCTTTTAACATATGTTACGACAGTGAAGATGGTTCAGTGAGTGAAAGCATTTGGGGTCAGAACTGTGCAACAGAATTTTTGGAGCGACTTCCTGACAAGAGTTTAATATATTTCCATAACCTCAGTTATGATATAAACTTCATCTTAAGACACATGACAGAAGTGAAAGGAACTCCCATCATTAAAGGTTCACGAACAATGCAAATAACTGGCTTATATAAAGGAAGGGCAATTATTATAAAAGACTCTTACAGTGTTATAAATAAGAAGCTTAAACTATTTCCTGCTATGTTTAACTTACAAACAGGACCGAAAGAAGTATTTCCATACAACTACTACAGCAGTGTTTTGTTAGCAAATGACAACAGAACTGGTGTCATTTCTGAAGCATGTAAGTTTATCCGGGATGCAGATACATTCATGAAAAACATAGATTCCATCAAAGGTTGCAGAATAGATGAGAACCACTTCGACTTAGAAAAGTATAGCACATTTTATTGCAAACAAGATGTAAGAATTTTAAGAGAAGGTTTTGTTAAGTTCCGCAATGACATATTGAAAGAATTTGATTTAAACGTTTATGACTACGTTAGTATTTGTTCAATTGCTAACAAATTATTTGAGAACAGAGTGTACTTCCCGAATGGAAATTTATATGACCTCTCAAATAAACCAAGAGAATTTATTTCACGCTGTATTCAAGGTGGAAGATGTATGCTGTCAGATAACATAAACAAAAGAGCGAAAAGAAACTCATTGCTGACTTCGACGCTGTTTCATTATATCCATCAGCTATAGCAAGACTTTATACTTTAGAAGGTATTCCAAAGGTTATGAAGAAAGAAATGTTAAGCACAGAGTATCTCATGAGACATTTATTCGATGACGACCAAAAGGAACCCATTGGTGAAAAGTTTATGTCTGGCTTCTTTGTTCTCATTAAGATAACAGAGATTGGAATACATAGACACTTTCCTTTAATAGTTTGTGACCCTGAACTAAATCCAGAACTTAACGTTCCCAGAAGTTCAAACACTTGCTGTTTAATGTATGTTGACCATATAACATTACAAGACCTCATAAAATATCAAGGTGTCAAATGTGAAGTGTTGCAAGGATACTATTACGATGGAAACAGAGATATTAGAATAAGAGATGAAGTAAAGAAGTTGTTTGAGTTAAGGTTAAAGTATAAGAAAGAAGGAAATCCTTTGCAAGAAAATATAAAGCTCATTCTGAACAGTATTTATGGCAAAACTATTCTATCTCCTATTGAGTCAAAAATAACCATAGTAAATGACAAAGATGCTATAAGATATGCCATCAGAAACTACAACCATATAGTGAAGTTCGAAGGTTTGGATGGTTCAGATAAAACTATTTTCAAGCTAACGAAAAGCATTTGCAGACACTTTAACTTCTGTCCACTTGGTGTTAACATTCTGTCTATGTCGAAGAGAATAATGTGTGAAGTATTCTGTACTGCTGAGGACTTAGGAATGGACATCTTTTATAGCGATACGGACAGTATGCATCTCTACAATGAAGATATCCCTCGTTTAGCTGAAGAGTTTGAGAAACGTTATGGAAGAGTTCTCATTGGTAAAAACCTTGGTCAATTTCATAGCGACTTTGCAGAAATCACAAAAGAAAACAAAGTTTAGCATACAAGTCAATATTTTGTGGAAAGAAGACTTACATAGACTTACTCACGAATGATTTAAATGAAGTTGCATTTCACTGCAGAATGAAAGGCGTGAAGCAAGATGTTATTGCTTTAACCGCTAATGAAATGTTTCCTGACTCTGTTCAGTGTTTCTATGATGAAGATAAAGGTTTAATGGTTCCGCAAGGAAAATTTGACAAAGACTCTGAGTTCAGTGTTATGAAGTTATATAAAGCACTTTATGACGGTCAAGAGATTGGATTTGACTTATGTAAGTCTGTCAACCTTGCTTTGCTGAAAAGTTTAACTTTTCTCTCAGACTAAGACTTCATTCATAAAAAGCTTAAGTTCTGAGGTCATGAATGAGAAAAATAATGAGGTCATTTATTTTTGTCAGCATGAGCCATTCATGATAAAAATAAGCCGCTAGCGGCAAGGGCGAAGCCCATGTGGTCATTTACAATACTGCGATGGTAGAGTTTAAGAGTTGTGCTTCAATGTAGAGACAGTCCTTATGGTCTGGAGGTAAGAACACTGGGCAGTTATGGTCATGAGTGGAGAACATGTCTATCCAAAACTCACGATTGAAGCCAGTTAATTTATAGTATTTAGGGTTAGGAAGTGGTGAAGTTCTTGTATGACCAATGAACTCATTTTCAACTCCCTTACTTAAGTTTGAATATAATATAGCTTGCTTTCTATCCCAAATGCCAGGTGTTACAATCTTTGAAAATTCATTTTTCCTCGGAAGCATTGCATCATAATTGAAAACATTCTTGAAATCATCACTTGGTTCAGAGATTTGAAATCTTATACGTAATGGATTTTCTTTCTCTTTAGCGACTTCATTGAATGGTGAGAATACAATGAATTGACAGTCATGTGTTCCATCTTCATTTTCATTAAATTCATAATGAAAGTCTATAAGTTGTGGCTGACTACCTTCTTCTTTCAGTTGTGCAAGAAACTCACGTAAAGGCTGTAAAGTTTGTACTTCAATGTTGAACTTTTTCTCGAACATCTCATTAAATGAAATCATACATTGTTGCAATGTTGTATCGTCTTTAAAGTATTTGTATATGTGAATGTTTTGGGCGCTTAAAGACTGTTCGTCATTTTCTATCTCGACTTGAAGTATAAAGTCAACCTTTCTGAAAGCACGTGTTATATACATAGATGTTATGCCAATGTACTTCTCTTCATTTATGTTCACAATCCAGTCTGTTGGAAACTTAAACGTTACTCTGTTCCCCTTTATTTTGACGTCAGGGTTTTCACTACTGAACGCAACAGATAAAGGTATTTGTCTATACATTTAATTCGGATAAAAATAAACCATTTACTCTTTCTTTGCTTCAGCTTCTTTAGCTTTTGCTTCAGCTTCTTCTCTAGCTTTTTTCGCCAGTAGTCTTGGGTTCTTTTGTCTTCCAGCAGCTAATGCAGCAAGTTGTTTTTCACTAAGTTTTCTCTTTGGTCTCTCTGGCTTTTGTTCTTGTTTTTGTTCCTTCAGTTCGGATAAAATTTGCTCACGAATTTCTTTCTTCAATGCTTCAACATCTATGACCCCTTGGGTCTTGTCCGTAGGGCTTGTCTGAGTCATTTGACTGCAGATAAAAAACAAAATTAAAACTTTAACCGATGTAAAATGAGCTTGTCAAAATCAGAGCGAGAGTCTATTATATTAAATGACGCAAGAGGAATACAACATCCTTTCTATTACGTAAGTCAGAGTAAAGATGGTAAAATATACGTAAGAAAAAGAAAGGTTCCATTAGCGAATGCAGAAAGCGACAACATTAAGGTGTATGGCAAGGGTGAAGTCCACGAAGTCCATTAAAACCTTCTATTCAAACTGAAAAGTCAATAGAACCAGAAGAAAAGAAGCCAGATGTACTTTCAATAACGAACCAAGAGCTTATTGCAAAGTTCGTGAATTTCATTGAAAAACAAACCGAGTCAAAGAATCCTGACCCGCCAGTGAAAGAAGTTGAGACAAAAGAGAATGTACAGTTCATTGAAAATGTCAAGAAACAACTTCCACCACGAATGCCAAGAAGAAGAGTGAGAATAATGAAGTAAATAGATATTTTTATCTGAAGTAAATACATGCAGAACGAACAGCTAAACGAATTTACTCCAGCAGAGCATATTCATCAGATTCGCTCATATTTCGATATCATAGACAATGCAGTTCAAATTGGTGACACTAATAGAAAATATTCTGACGCAAAGATTCCATTCACAACCTGGAACTGCTAAAGATAACACATGGGTAACATTCAATCTCTCACCTCCTGGTGAAAATATGTTGGACCTTTACAATACATTCATTACGTATAAAATGGAAGGTCAATTTATTGTAGATAAAGAAATTGGTTCAGGTTCCAATAAAACAAACCCACCAGGATTTTGGATTGGTTTCGATGACGCTTTCTATGCAGTTGCTGGATATCAAATCCTTGCAAATGGTCGTATCGTATATTCTCAAGACAACGCAAGAGAAGAAGCATATATAACTTCAAACTCACAAACTACCGAACAAATAAAGAAAGTAGATGTTTTCTCAAAGACTCGACATGAAGATGTATGGAGTCATTCGGGAACATGCAGAACAGGACAAATTGTTAGTGGTCCAATTACAGCAGGAAAATCATTTGATTTTAAGCTTCGTTTAAGAATTCCTGTTAGAAGATTCCTTCCATTAGAAGCTATTCGATTTATTCCAGCTTTTGCAGGAAACATTCAGCTTAAAGTAAAGTTCAGTAGCGACGCCTTACAATGCACATCTATATCTGTAAATGATATATTGCTTTCAATCCAACTCTTAAAGTTGCATTTGCTTCAGATTCAAATCCACCGACAAATAAATTTGTTCCATGGAATGAACCATTCACTATGATAACGAAGGCAGTAGAAGCTAGTGGAACAGTTACTATTACAACTGTAACCCAGCAACTATTTCGAACAAAGATGGATTTTAATGAATGTTTATTCATCCAAAGTCATTCTCTTTAGACCCTAACATTTATACAGAACTTGTAGAACATTATACAAACGAGGCTTTTATGTTTTCCTGTTAAAGTTATGGATTGGATTCCTATGGACGGTTCATTCTCAAAGAATACAGATAGTTCAAGTGCAACATTTACAGCAGCTTATACGCCTATTAATGTTAAAAGTATTTGGGCACTATTTAGAAAGAAAGACAACTATTATGTTAATTTTGAGAACCAAGTTTAAATATCTTCAGCTTTCCATGGGAGCTTATGGAAATATGCCTGCAGAACCTGAAAAATCATATGGACCTGTATTTTATGAAATGGTTGCGAACGCCTGAAAATTAAAATCTATCATATCATGTTTGTATTGCAG